CAGGGTGCTGAACAAACACAATTTTGCCTGAGCTGGCGTCTGAAATAATGAGTTTAGTATTTTTTTTTTCGATAATTATGTGCCATATGCTTTTCCCGTATCTCTTCCTTGCAAGTTCCAAATGTTTGGAATGCTTACATTCAACAAATTTAAAAAAAAATCATCTGAAAATAAAAAGTTTTCCCTTAAATAATTGTCGGGGATGTGGTTAAGGAGCAAGAACAATAGAAGAGTAATCAAGACAGTAGATAAAGATTCATATTGCATTTAATTTTTTGAAGAAGCGAGAAGTGCGAGCAAAACCTGTTAGAATAGAACTTACAATTATATCTAGCCATTCAAGTGTGAATGAATGAGACCTTTCCGCCAATCTAGTGCTGCGCTTAAATTGATAAAGTCTCGGCACCATAGTGAATAGTTCATCTGAACAATTACTATGAAAGTATTTAGAGTAAAGTCACAGAGAAATCTATATTACGACGGTGGGAAGTGACTGAAGATGAGAAGCCATACCAGGGCCAATAATATTGCTGAATCTCCTTTGGATTTTATCAAGAATCTCTAAATATATAGCAGCTGCATCGAGCCATATGTAACAGGAAATATTGAAAGCATGTGTGAATGGTAGACTTGTAAATCTCTAAGATAGATTCTGGAGAGAAAAATAACTTTAGTTTTTATTCTTGTCAAACACTATTTTCTATAAATACTTTTAAATATAAGGATTTATAAATATATTTTTCCATAAAGACGTCGAGGGCACCTCGAGGCGGTGTAATGGTTAGCAAGCTTGTCTCGCTAGAACAATTACGACTGAGTAGTGAGTTCGATCCTCACCGGGTGCCCCTTACATTCGGCCTCGTGCCACATCCAAGCTACGCTTGGAAAATCGCCATAAAGACGTCGAAAACATAACGTTCAAAAACCAGCTCTAGACATGTTTATACGATTATTTTTATGCCCTTCTGGTCTTGTAACGAGTCCCGATTCTTAGTCTTCCTGAAGCATTCAAGAAAGCCTTCCATATATAATGGATATGACGGTTTGGAATACTTACGTCTGAAAATGAAACGTTTTCCCTTAAATAATTGGCGGGGAAGAGGTTAAGGAGCGAGTTTTGAAATGGCAAGAAGTGCGAGAAAAAATCTGTTAGAATAGAACTTACAATTATATCTAGCCAATTCAAGTGTGAATTGATGAGACATTGTCGTCAATATAGTAATTCGCTTAAACTCATAAAGTATAGGTACCATAGCGAAGAGACCATCTGAACAATAACTATTGAAGTATTTATAGAAAAGACACAGGGAAGCAATGTTACAGCAGTGAGAAAGAGACTGAAGCCGAGACGGCAGGTTAGAAGTAATATTGTATTTTTTTTTTAAAGGTGCATTAATTATTTATAACTCATAAAACCAAAAGTTTGCAGCTTTATAAATCATTTATAAACCTAAGGAAAAAAAATGGTCGATAGTTGGTTTTATTTTGCTCTTGACATTTTCCCCAATACTGTTTAATTCTTCAGGTTTTATTTTATCCGATTTAATATTACTTTTATTCTGATGTTTCAAGCCTTCATTCATTAATATTCTTCTTGTTCCTCATTCTTGATGTCTTCTCCGTCCGTGGCATTTACAGAAAAAAAAAAGCAAAACACGTTCGGTTAATTCGTTCACTCACTTTATTTATTTAATTTTTTTTTTTTTTTTTTTGACGAATTCTTACTCGTCGGCCATCTTTATTCTCTGAATCCGACAATTTAAAAAAAAAATGTTTAATCAAATGTTTCAACATTCTAGAGAATTTGAGCCCACATTTTCACGAATACAGCCAGTTCAACACTAGCCTATACAGATTTATATATCGCAATAACCTTCTGTACAAACTAAATACAAAATATGTAAATAATTTAATATTAATTCGAATAATAATATTTTTTTTTGATGGGAAATGTTTATAATATTCAGCTTCGGAAATTTACAAGTATATGAATGTACTGACCACAGCATTTAAAATTTTAAAAATTTATGTATATTTATATAAATGACTTCCTTTGTTTGAAGTCGATACAACCACACCGACTTCCAAACAAATTGAAGATCTGGCGGTAAGACTTGTACAATAGGCACTTAGAACAGAAAGATACTATTTTATTTTTTGTTTTTTTCACATTACTATAAATGAAAAAAAAAAAAGAGTTAATAGGGGATCTAGTTTGCTATGTAAATTCATTATAAACCGATGCCTCTACGGAAATCAAAACAAATATACACATATCACGTGATTTCTTAAATTGTAAAAACAAAATGATTTATTTTAAATTCGAAACCTAGAGATTTTTTTGCATATTACTATCGATTACGTACTCTAGATTTCGAATTACTTTAAACCTTATTTTTTAATGGATAACCGTATTTGAGTAGACGTCCCGTTCATTTTAAACAGTACTTTATTTCATCTACCGGCCTATACACTCGAGAAAAAGTAAATACACTCTCAGATAGTATTCAAATCTGCGTCTCCCATTTGCAGTAACAAACGTCACTTAAGCCAACGTGCCTTGACCGCTCGGCCACGAAGAACTCCACAATCAAGCGCGGTTTTAGTAGAACGAAGTAAACTGCAATTTCTCCTACAAAGAGAAACGCAGGTTCGAATATTCCTGGAGGGCGCATTTTCTTAAATTAGTATTTTTTTTTCGAGTGTGTGGTCCGGTAGACAAAATAAGATACTGTTTAAAATAAACAGATCGTCTATTCAAATACGGGCATCCACTAAAACATGTTCACTGTATTAAAAATATTTCGGATTACAAATATGTCGGTTAAAAAAATAAAATTCAATATGTGACGTGTATATGTCTTCTTTTTTTGTTTGTTTTTTTTTTTTTAAATATGCATTTAGAATTCAGACTCTAAAGTTATAATTGTTTTTATTTAATGTTGATTTGTTATGCTCTATGACTATTGCTTCAAGGATTATAAGTCTGTTTTTAGTTTTGGATTTTACTAGTATTTTGGTATTGTTTATAAGTAGTTGTCTAATATGACAATGATATGTGCTCTCATTAAGGAAACACGTCGTATGATCACATTTGTTTTGTCTTGAGTAGAAGGGTCAGTTTACTCTGTATTTACGTAGTAAACTGGACTCCTGTTCGGGAAGGGACAACTCAATACCGCCGGCTCAACACCGCCGACTCAGCACCGGGGCAAATCAGGACTGAGACAACTCAGAAAGGAGATAATTCAGCACCAGAAAAACATGATTTTTTTTTTTTTATAACGGAATAAAAGTAATTCATTAAGGCTTAAAATCTTAATTCGTGAATATTTTTTTTATTATTTTTGATAAAGTAAATTGTAAAGAAATTTATTTTTAATAAAGTAAAAATATTTACTTATTAAGGTTTTAATCCATAATAAGGTCATCGATTATAAAAAAAAAAAAAAAAAGTTATGTTTTTCTGGTGCTGAGTTGTCTCGGTTCTGAGATGTCCCGGCGCTCGGTCAGTGGTGTTGAGTCGGCAGTGTTGAGTTGCTTGCACCCTCATATTAACTTTAAAAAAATAATAAAAAAAATAGATATTCGTGATTTAGAGTGCTTAATCTATAGGGATCTATAAAGAAAAACGAAAAAAGGTGCTTCTTTCTGATCGTAGTGCCTATTGAATGATTTCACCGATGTCTAAGGAAGATGTTCCATTTTTATCACGAGATTCGTCCGGTTGAACCCATAGGATAGGATCAATTTCTCCTATAAATTACTAATATTTTACTTTGAGAAAAGTTGTTTTAAAAAATAAAGTCTTTTCTCTTATATGTCTTTCTAAAATTAAATCAATTTACAGATTATTTTTTTTTTAATATCATGTTTGTTAGTCAATTCAAATTTCCATGATGTCCGTCACTGATGTTGTGAGTTCATGATGTGGTCTTTGTTTTTTGCCGAAGCTTATTCTGACGATGACGATGCTTATTTTAAGCCGTAAATCGTTCATTTTTAATCTGGCTACTTCAGCCAAATACATCTTTGCACAACTTTGTCTTTCGAAGAATTCGTTCCCACAGCAAAAGTGCTCGTGTTGAAGTTAAGATTCGTTTGGATCTGTGATATGAGAAAACTTATTCTGAAATTTTCTTTGTTGAATTACAGAGAGCGATTTTATAATCACTTGTATTTGAAACGAAAAGATGTGGCAAGATTAAAAAGATGTAATATTGCACTTTCCAGATGAAGAATCTCCTGTGGAATGTGCTAAATTAAATAGCGATCATTCCATTTTTTGTCTTTTGTTTCCTTTCAGTATTTTTTTTTCTTTTACATTGTTTATGTGTTGGTGTTTCTTCTTGTTAACAATGTAGTAAATAGTCACTTATTTTTATATTTGTATAGAACCATAAGTATCTTAAAGTCAAGTTTAAAATGATTTCCTCCATTTTATTTTATTTTTCTAAAGAAGGCTTTGATTAAACCTTCTTTAATAATTCATTCTAAAATAAAGAAAAAAAATTTAGGAAATCTGAAAACGTATTTCCTCATGAAAAATATTAAAAAAAAAAAACTTTTCCCGGAAATATTAAATTTCCAGAAATATTGGATGTTAGCTAAACATTAGACGTCTTTATATATATATATATATATATATATATATATATATATATATATATATAATGTTTGCGTGTTATTTCTGTAGAGTTAGTTCTTTGGGGGGCATCTGGTCTGGGTTTTTATTTTCTGAAAATACAGTTCTATTGTCCAATAACTGTATCCATATCATTGATTGGATTATTTATTATTTTTTTGTATTCTCGGGTGTTGTCCATTTTTTCGTCTTTGATAGAATCTCATTCGGCATTGCTGTCGATCATAGATCAGTTTGTATAACAAAGAATATAATTTTTTTCGCCGACAGCGACATTTCTCAAATAGTTTTCGCTCTTTCCTTTATTTTTTTTTATTATCTTTTCCATTAGATCTTTCTCCCGTTGTCGTTGCTTTCAATATGTATATAAAAAAAAATATTGTCCAATCACGTGGAACTCAACAGGTGTTTGTCCAAAAACAAAATGCCCACACACCTACAAAAGAAAGAGATAAAAAAAAACACTTAGGATTTTGTTCACATTTACATATATTTTTATCAAACTTCATATAAAAATTCACTGTTTTCCTATTTAAATTTTCTTTAATTCTAAAGTTAATGACTGGATAAGCTCATGGCGAATTTTACGACAATCAAATATCAATAGAAATTACCCGGTCTTATCGTTAACTATTTAAACTTAACTTTAACAAATATTGCAATAACAATTATAAATATGAATGCTGGTCTTTATTTTAAGAAGTAAGGGGGTACAAATGGAAGGTTTGAAATGGACAATTTTTTTTCCATTTCACTGAAATAGCCGTTAAACATTTCTACCTCCCCTTCTTTCTTTTTTTCTTTCTTTCTTTCTTTTTCTCGTTGAAACCAGGTAGCGTTTCTGTTATATATTTTCCGTCTTTCCACGCGATCAATACGAAATGGTCCATTATTTATGAGCTACTGACAGGGCGTAACGGTCGTGCTGACTAAGGGAGAGACGAGCAGAATTATAATAAGATTGTTGTATATACTAGCAGAGGACGCGTACAACCGGACGACGTATTTTATATGTGGATTGACACTTATGCCGAGGATCATGGACCATGGGCGCTCTGACTAAAATCAAAGAAGAAATAGTATTTACTCGCCCCCCTCCTAACAATGGCGACAGGATAGGACACAGGGCCTGATTAAAGTCAGGTCCACAAATGTGTGTAGATGAACCAAGGCCAAAATTAACTAGTTCCCTTTTTACTGGTTTTGAGATTACACCGATAAACCCCCTCTTTGGTGTAATGTGGGAGGTATTGCCGCTGCGTTGGAACCCCCGGAACAGATCAAAGAGGTATTTTGCAAGTAACCACTATCACATCTGTGTGCTTTGAAAAAAGACTTCATAAAAAAAGAAAATAAATCACTCAGAAGGAAAATTCTATAGAGTGCCGCCATAGAATATTACCCAAATATTAATCTACGCCCAGGTTTTTCCCCATTTCACCTTTCTTAACAAAATTATTGCTCTCACAAACAAATGTCCACAACAGATTCATAAAATCAAAAGAAAATGGTTGAATACATCAACACAGATATAATGACAATATTCTCCACACGTGATAAATACTGACATTATTTTCAGTTAACTATGAAAATAGCGTTTCTCTACATTTCAGTTGCTAGGAACATTCTGTTTTTTTGTTTTTATTAGTTAACTTGTTCAATTAAATTAATTTCGCATTTTGCTTTGATAAAGTCCACATTGGACGAAGCGCGTCAGCAATTACTAGTTTTTCCTATTGTCATTTTTATTCATATATATATATATATATATATATATATATATATATATATATGAGGCTGTATAAATAGATGGCAGAAGATAGACTTGGAGGAATAGGAAGCTGCGGAGGGCCATGATCGCCCATTATCTGAAAGGACACGGCATATAATAAGGATAATAGGTATATAACATTAATGTTAAGTGTATATTAGATACGTAGATAAATAGAAAAGGAAGGTATGTATTAGATTTTTTTTCTTGACTTTATTTACCTGTTGTAGTGATGTCCTCAGTCAGAAAAAGTATCTCAGATCACAGTAGTTCATGGCCGACACCCTTCAACCAATGATGCCCCTTCGCGTTTTACTTCTTCGGGTACCAAATACGGGTGGAACCTGTGTGAACCACCTATGAAATGTGACGAATTGTCTGAAGACGTGAGTCCCGAATAAGCGTTAGCAGCCGCAGCTGCGTTTCTCAGTTCGCGAAGGTTGTCGGGTAATTGTAACGGGTGGAGTCCAAGATTGGGAAAGACAATACCGGCTGCCGCAGCTGCTGCGGCCGTGGCGGGAAAACCATACATGCTGCCGTACCAGGCGTACAACCGTTGGTCGATATTCGAATAAGCGGCTGGCGTACTTCCGGCCGATAACGAGGGGCGCCATAAAGCCCAGTGGGGTAACATCATCGCTCCATTCTTATCCAGACCCTGTTCACCAACTGTTCAAAAAAGATAAAAAATATATATAAATATATATTTAAAAAAAAAGAAAAAAAAAAGAAAAGAAATTGCAACTTTGTAAAGTGTTAGAATTTAATTTAAAAAAAAGGCTACTCTTCTCCGGTTGAAAGCGATGGATGTGCGTAATTGATATCGGCTCAGATTGGGAAATCGTAGTGTCGAGTTCGATTTCCAGTTGAGTTCATTACATTAATTTTCGTACAGACACCCTTGGAAAAAGTATGAACTCACCACTTCTCTTCCCACTTCCACACACCAGCTATGGTGATACCATTTCATATGAATTCAAAAAATGAGTCCTTCTGGTCCCAAAACAAAATTTCGATTTCCCTGCAGGACGTACTGCCTTCAACATATTTTGGCAGTGACACCTTTCCATACACATACACTATTTTAACCAGGGAAGGTTTGCAACCTTTTCTCCTTATAAAAACAAACATTCTACGATATCTCTTAGCTTTTTACGTGTGTCCAATTTGTTGGCTCATTGATTTTTACGAGACGTCACGCTTTGCTACGTTATTTCATGCCAAAGATTCTATAGTGGCAAATAGGGAGTATCCAATCGCTACTCAGGAGTAATACCTAACAGACTAGCGTCGCTAACGAGTACAATAAGTGGAGCTGAACGTTGCCAGTTATGAGAGCCTTTTTAAAAGATGAAGAAAAAAGAAAGCAACACTAGAAATTTTTCTTGCGGTTTGCAGCAGAAAATATAGAAATTCAAAATCCTTTTAAAATTTTAATGAAAATAAGCGTTGTCTCTTTGACAAACACTTATATATTTAATAAAGTTTTAATAGTGGGTACAACACAAACTTCCACGCATCGCTTATATGTTTATGGTTTCTTTTTTACTCAAATTTGACTTATTTAACCAAATTAGTTGTAAATTAGTCTATTTTAAAATTTAATACACAAAAATGAAATTCAGATAATTTGATTATAGTTGTTTTCAAAGTCCGTTGTTTACAAAGCTGAGCTTAATTTTCACACACGTTGGTTTGGTTTGGTTTGGCTTGTTTTACGGAATATCAAACTTAATGGCTTGTTTAATGCCGACAAGTTTGTTTTTTTTTTTTAAAAGTATTTCTGGTAATATTTTTTTGCAAAATTATATTGCTGGTAATAATTATTTTCTTCAAAATTCATTGCTGGTAATAATTTTTAACAAAAATGTATTGCTAGCATTAAAACCTTTTTTACACCTTCATAGTGGTTTGACCACAATTTTGGTATTAACTATTTGCCCATAACTGAGACCCTAACAGGTGCTACCATCCTGGGTCAGCGTGGGTCTGGGAACACCAGCACTTAAGAGGTGTTTCCACGCTCTTCAAAACATCCTGATCAAAGGCCTTGCTGTCGACGTAGTTTATCGTCTTACCCAGGAATCATATGAATTTTATCGTCTTACCCAGGACTCAACAAAATTGTAATCGTGAGGATCGAAATTATTTATGACGATCGTCACGACCAGCTAACAACTGCTTAATGACAAGCTTCCTTGAATCAGATAATGATAAAAATATAACCGATATATAAGCTGAGAGAAAGAAACAAGCGTGGGTCACTCGGTGAGGCTCATATTCATTACAGAATTTGGTCTGTAAAACGAGCTTATTAAAAACACTATACAGTAGCTACAATCTCATTCTGCCCCCAATTTATTTCTACTCAATATAATTTATGATGGTTTGAAATATCACCTTTCCTACCTACTCAGTAACCTTTCGGATAATGCATTAAACCGGAAATAACTGATATTGTTACCCATAATGCAACATTGGCCGGCATAGCGGAGCCAAGAAACAACACACGTAGCTTGAAGATTGCTTTCAAGCATGAAACAGACTGTCGCCATTCGGTGTTAACTTCAGGTTTACTCACATGCACATACACACACACACAACCATATATATGTGTGTGTGTGTGTGTGTGTGTGAAAGAGAAAGAGAAAGAGAGAGAGAGAGAGAGAAAAAGAGGGACAACTCTGAACTCAAATCTTGAGAAAGGTCGTTTGGGGACCTTGTGGCTCAATATGTGTAGCATTTGTCTGTATTCGGCTCTTCAAAAAGTGCGATTCGTTCTGCACAAACCTTCACTGGCTGTTCAGGTCAAAAATTGAATTGCCGTACCCTCATACATCAAAAGCAACGGGATAGTCCAGTGTATATATATATATATATATATAGAGAGAGAGAGAGAGAGATTGTCTAAGCGTAGCTTAGATGTAACACAAGTCCGAAAGTATGGGGCACCTAGTGAGGATCGAACTGACTTTTCAGTTTTAATTGATGTAGCGAGACAAGCTTCCTAACCATTACACCACGCCGAGGTGCCCTAGATAGATATAGATAGATATTTTCGAAAGGTAATGCATTTTATTTTTCAACCAGTCAGATTTTTATTACTTTAAACGTTATTTTTAATCGATACTCATATTTGAATAAAAGCTCCGTTTATTTATTAAACAGTATATATATATATATATATATATATATATATATATATATATATATATATATATATCACTTGATAATTAGTTGGGATAATTCCAAGGAGGATATAAATGGAAAGAGAACCCAATGTAAAAACAGAGCAAATATAATAATGAATGCAGAGATTTCAACATAAAGGAAAGACAGTGAGAATGGGAAAGAAATAAACTGAACTCAAATAATTTTGTAAAATTTGGTCTGAAGAGATGGACATCTGAGTGCACAAAATAAACTATCACCTGAATGAATTTTTAAGGATTCTGTATTCATTATATATATATATATATATATATATATATATATATAGAGAGAGAGAGAGAGAGAGAGAGAGAGAGGATAAAATATATATTTTAAGGTATTCTATATTAATGGTTGAAGTGGTCAATATCAGAGATAGAGCGTATGTAAATATAAAAGTGAACATTGAATTTAACAAATAGCGGCGACAGTTTTTTCATGCTAATAACAATGATCGCGTGATGATTGTGTTTAGCAAGAAACAGAATGTTGCCTCTGTGTATTGACTTCAGTCTCCACTGATACATATATACATATATATATATATATATATATATATATATATATATATAAAATATTCTTTGATAATCCGTATAGATAACTCCAAAGAGGAGATAGATCCAGAGAGAGCTCAATGTAAGTAAGAACAGAGCAAATGATAATTATGAGAGCGGAAACTTTAGAAACCCATGGTAATATTTTATTTCGCAAAACTGATTCTTCGGTTTCGTCTCATCAGACCATATCAGTTTCAACAATATATATATATATATATATGTGTGTGTGTGTGTGTGTGTGTGTGTGTGTGTGTGTGTGTGTGTGTGTGTGCGTATGTACGTATGTGTGTAAATATTTTCAGATGGAGTATATCGGTAGATTTGATAAAATGAATAAAAAGAAACAAGAGGAAAATCTATACTTAGCCGACGTGGTTTTTCCTCTGAGGGACTTTATAAGGGGGACGAAACACATCGACTAAGTATAGTTTTTCCTCTTGACTTTTTACATATATATATATATATATATATATATATATATATATATATATGTATATATATATATGTGTGTGTGTGCTTGTGTGTTTAAGTGTAGAAGATAGTGGCTTCCAGAAAGTTGTGCTAAAAGGAAGAGTTGAAAACACTCCTGATCAGGTTATATGCACAGAATCATTAATGATTTAATAAACTCAACACTAATACTGTGGAGAGTGCTGGAGTATCGACGACAATTTGCAGTGACGCTAATATGCAGAAATAAGGACCCTTACCTTTGGAAAATGAAGATTCGCGGAGTTTTAACGATTCTGCGTCGCTGTAGTCACCATCACCGTAAGAGCGTAGCGGGGAACGTGCATACGTGTGGTGCTGTATCAGGCCTTCCATACTTTCCCTGTAAAACAGTTGTTCACTGTAAAAAGCAAGCTAATTAAGAATCATGAATATAGGTTCAATTTTGCAGTACGTCATAATTACAAAAGTTAATCATCAAATTAATTATGACCGTGAATTAAGCTATCGAATTAAATAACGTTTTATACTTTTATTTATTGCATCCGTAGGTATATAAGACCTTAACTTTCCTTATTGAAATTATACATAAGCAAATTACAGATGCATGCTTTTTTTTAGTAGTTCCACGTCTACTTATCATCTCTCAGTTGCGTCTCTGTTCTTGGACAGAGTGCGCTCAGGGGCTTCTCTGTCAAAGGACAGAGTGGCAACTGGGAAAATAATACTGAAGAGGTGCCTATGCCTGGGGAACAGCTACCAGAGGCCGCGCTCTTTGCACCAGAGGGAGGGATCGGTGCTCGCACCGAGGCCAGCCCAACCGACAGTTACGGGCGTTGAAGGGAATTTTTGTTCCTGTCCCGGGCGTACGCGCTTGGGTTCCCACCTAAAAATAGACCTCCTGTCACAACTCGTCCAAGTGTAGGGACAGAGTAAATATTGCGTGCGTATCAAGAACCGTTTGTCCGTTTGTCAGAAATATTTTATATACAGATATTTTTAATCTGTTTCATATAAATACGGCTTAAGTTTTGAGATTTCAAGTATCTTATTAGGTTCGAAATAGTAGATTATCTTTTTTGTTCCATGTTTAGGATTTGGTTTTCGTTTTTTTTCTAAAATCTTTTTCATTCTCTTTTTTTTTATTCCGAGTGGCCCTTCGCGTCTTAGTAGCTTTATCGCCTTTATAGGGGTGAACTGATTCTAAATACATACAGGGTGTTGCAGCAAAATCCAACACTTGACAAAAAGAAAACCAAATAGGCAATAAAAACAAAAGTTGTATATGCAGATACCTAATAGTTTATTTAGCAACAGTAAGTGTTACATACTACATTATTTTTCAATGTAACCGCCGCTGGCGGCGACGACCATCTCAAGGCGGGCCCGAAATGAGTCACACGCTTTGGCGACCATGTCCATAGCGGCGTGTTGTAAGCGTGCTTGTTGGTCTTGGCCTCGATCACACCCCAGAAGAAATAGTCAAGAGGGTTGCCGTCAAGTGAGTAGAGCGGCCACAAGTCCGGCATCTAGTGGTGAGGAACAATGCTGAGGTAGCCACGCCTGGGTCGTTTTGGCCTTGTGTGCAGCGAGGAGGACCTCATTTCTCCGTTCTTCTTTCAAGAGGGCCTGAGAGTCAGCACTGAAATCCACCAGGAGGTGCTTAGGAGCGCGGTTAAGCCCTGGATAGACAAGATCGCTGCCGGACGCCCCTACGTCTTCCAGCAGGACTCCGCTCCTGCACACCAGGCCAAGACGGCCCAGGCGTGGCTACCTCAACAATGTTCCTCACCACTGGTCGCCGGACTTGTGGCCGCCCTCCTCCCCTGACTGCAACTCCCTCGACTATTTCTTCTGGGGCGTGATCGAGGCCAAGACCAACAAGCACGCCCGCAACACGGTCGAGTCTCTGAAGGCCGCCATCGTGGAGGCGTTCGCCGCTATGGACAAAGACATGGTCGCAAAAGCATGTGACATTTCGCGCTCGCCTTGGGATGGTCGTCACCACTGGCGTCGGTTACATTGAAAAATAATTTAGTGTGTAACTCAAACTGTTGCTAAATAAAATGTTGGGTATCTGCATATAAAAACTTTTGTTTTTATTGCCTATTTCGTTTTCTTTTTGTCAAGTGTCGGGTTTTGCTGGAACCCCCTCTATATTAAAAATACTAAAATTTAAAAATGTTAAATTCAGTGCAAGCATGTTTAGAGTATTAATGCTGTCAGAACATCGCAATGACAACTCTGTGTTGAATGTAAGCAAATTCACATCGGGATACTTCTTTTGTTGCAGTAAGATTCACTCTTAGAAGGCTCGGCGGCCATTCGATGTTGAGGGTTATGTTAAGGTAGAGTTTATATGGATAGGAGGGGAAAATAACGGGTAACTCTAGACTTGATTTTAGGGATCTGGGAATCATCCTCGCAGGAGGTGGTTCCACGCGTCAGTGCCTCGTGGTTGTGTGGAACTTACTTCATGCTGATGGAATACGGAGGGAATGTGTATGGTTTGCTCCAATGTAAGTGTCATGGCGGGTCTTAGCCGTGAAGATTAGACCTCAGGAACCAAAAAATGTAATTTGTCCGAGCATTTTCCATGGCTCAATAGCGCAGAGAGAGGTTCGCCACATCCCGTCCATGAGAAAGAGTTTGCAGGGTGAATAATAATTATTATCCAACAAGAACTCGGAGACGCGTCTTTACTCTATCAAGACTGGAAAGAGATGAGTGGGCATCTCCCGCTCAAATATGTCAACAGTCCTCCATTTTTCTTTTGGCCTGATATGGCTCTTATAAAGGTAGAGGATTGCATGAAGTGTCAAGTATTTACTGGAGGGGTAGAGGGAGCCGATCATTTTACCTGCATCTTTAACGATGGATCGTAATTTCCTTTGTTTAATGATATTTTATGTATAGACGATTCTTTTAATATTATTACCGGAAATGATTAACAAATATTTTTAGATTTACATTTAAGAAAATACTATATAATGTTTGGTTAATTTAATATACTTAAATCACAGTCACATTTGATAGATTGTAAGGAACAATAGGTATAAAATATAAAAATACATGAGAAACGTGTAACTGACATAATTTTGATATTGCATGCATGGAATTAAAGCTCAATCATAAGATCTGGAAAGAAATGATAGGCAAAGAAAGAAAACAGAATGTATCAAACAGTTATAGTGTGAAAACTATATATATATATATATATATATATATATATATATATAATTATTATGCCTATAATTGTTAACAGAAGCCATTGGTTTATACTAACGGCTTGGCATACTTAATACTTCTCGTTTTCACTCTTGCGTGGTCATGTGTGACGTCACGAGCTGCGACGCGATTTTATCTTCCGCGTCTCGTATACACGAGTTAGTCATTGCTTTGAAATTTTTCATGCAACAAAAACAGACTATCATTATTGTTTCGTCCGTGTATTAGTTGATATATTGAAAATTGTCATCTTTGATAATGGCTTATATAAGCCGAAAGCTTAAATTGGATTTAAACATGGCTCAGTAATTTCCTTTCGTCTTTCAATGATAATCTTATTAAGCTTATTAGACAAAATGAAAGAAACTTACTTAAAATAAATAGACAAAACTTGTCTATATTATTTAATGAAACATGCATCAATATATATATATATATATATATATATATATATATATATATATATATATATATATATAAGGTGTATCAAAAATACTTTTGCAAACTTTGTGGGTGGGTTCTTCATACCAGAATAAGGAGAAAAATCGATATAAACATATGTCCGAAAATCATTCCTTTTTGAGTTATTAAGTCTATAGAATGTTTATGGTAGATGTCGTTGTGTTGCCTTGTAGACTAGGTTACATTTGTCATTCGTGTACATTTGTGGCTAGTCTGTCTTCAATGTTTAACGTGTATTGTAGTCAGTTAACTGAGAAGTGTTCCGTTTAAAAATGTCAGGATATTCATACCATGTGCATATGTTTATATGGACTTTTGTCCTTGTTTCAGCGTGAGGAACCCGCCCACAATGTTTGTAAAAGTATTTTTGATAGACTATATATATATATATATATATATATATATGTTACTTCAAATGTTATTACAGTGGATACTCGTATTTTAAATAGACGCCCCGTCTTTAGTTTCTTATTTTAAAAGATGTGAATTACGCATATCGGCTTGTGCATTCGAGAAATATTTACAAAGAAAATGTGCTCTCCGGTAGTGCTCGAACCTGCATCCCTCTTGGCAGGAGAATTTTTTTTTCCGTAGTGCTTTACAACTTAGCTACAGAGAGTGTCACAGTTAGGCTACGGCCTGTTTTCCCTTTTAAGGAAAACTCACTTCCTCATTCAGATATTACTTCCTCGAGAAAACCATATCTGCGCAAATTCATATCCGAAATGTAAAGCCAACTAATTTCTTCATATATGTATTTTCAATCTGACATTTTTATGAAATCAAACGTTATTTTAATGGATACTCGTATTTAAAATGGACGCGCCTGATATATATACATATATATATCAACATCTCACTTCCCTTCCACCCACCTCAAATCACTATTTTTAAATCTAAGATTATTTTCACAAAAAGTTTCGCACAGCGAGAAATCAAACAGAGAACGGATTTTTTCGAACAATTCCACCTACAAGTAGGACTCTACCTAGCCTCAAAACCTAATCTAGGATAGTCTCCACCGTCCCTCTGTTTATTTCTCGCATCCGCTGATGAAAAACACAGGCGTGTTCGAAAATTCCGAACTTGGAACCTCAATCTTCATGTTTCATTTTTCTCAACTGTTTAATATTAATGAATGTTTTTCGTACTGATTTCATCGGTACCCTTTCGTTTGACTTTGTTTTATTGATCAACTTATCTACTCTACTTTATAAACTATATGAAGCACAAGTGAAATATTTTTTCTAATTATATATATATATATATATATATATATATATATATATTATATATATATGTTTGTGTGCGAGCACCTGCGTGTATATGCAAGTACCAGTACACAGACACATTCTTTACCCCCAAGTATGGGTTAATAATTAAGAAAAAAAATAAAAATATTTTCTGTCTTTAAATAATCTGCAGTGGGTTGATAAACCGTAAAAAAATGAATCAATCAAATCAATCATTTTACTTAGCTTCTAATCCGACAAATATAGGCGAGATATGCTAATTTATTTGAATTCGATTTCAAAACATCGTGAAAGCAATTACGTACCTTTCGAAATCAGAAAGACGACTTGAGTCTCTGAAACCCTTTGCGAATGGATTGCTATCAATCTTCAACTTTGTGATCTGAAATGTAGCAGAAAAGACAAACATTGTAGGAATTGGAAAATTTGGGAAAAAATGAGGAACTTGGAAGAAATACACCAAAGCATAAAAAAATGAAGAGACAGCGTTAAAATCACTCAAACTTCTGGAGAATTCTTTGAAAAATGCCCACCACAAAATAAATAATAATAATAATAATAATAATGAAAATGATAATAATAATAATAATGTAATGACAATAATAATAATGATAATAAAAATAATGATAATAATAATGATAATTTTAATAATAATGATAATGATAATAATGATGATAATGATAATAATAATGAAAATTTTAACAATAATGATAATAATGATAATAATAATAATGCTAATAATAATAATAATGATAATGATAAAGATAATAATAATGCTAATGCTAATAATAATAATGATAATATAATAATAATGAATAATGATGAAATAATAATAATGATAATGATAATAATAATGATAATTTTAATAATAATGATAATGATACTAATAATGATAATGCTAATAACAATGCTCATGATAATAATAATGATGATAATAATAATAATGTATAACAATAATAATGATAATAATAATAATTATAATAATAATGATAATGATAATAATGATGATGATGATAATAATGATAATTTTAATAATAATGCTAATAATAATAATAATGCTAATAATAATAATAATAATGATAATAATAATAATGCTAATGCTAATGATAATATTAATGCTGATAATAATGATGATGATAATAATAATAATGATAATTTTATTAATAATGATAATGTTAATAATAATGATAATGCTAATAATAACAATGCTAATGATAATAATAATGATGATAATGATAATAATGCTAATAATAATGTTAATAGTAGTAAAAGTAATAATAATAATAATAATATTAATAAAAACAAGTTAAATAAATAATTATTGGATACATGTTGTATGTTGTAATTTTGTAATAAATAGCGCTTCAGACTGAAAAATCGGAGAGACGACATCGAATTCCATTCATTACATCTGCTTACGTGCTAATACACCTGAGAAAGGTATGAAGCCAATTATTCTCCCAGCTATGGTAGGACAGAATGGGTTCTATAGCCTTGGTTGGAAACCGGTCTAGGAGGAAGAAACACTGAATTCAAAAAAGCTTTATTGTAGCCCTGTCGAAGTAGATTCGATGCAGTTAAGGAAATGGTCGTTCTCCATGATCGAGACTACGGTCGAAATAGTGTTAACAGTTTAATGTTAGCCAAAATGAAACTTATACGAACGTAGAATATGCTTGTAAATAGCAGAACAGCCTGGTTTGCAACCCGTATAGGAGAATGACACCTCTTACCCACACCGTATTCTGTGGTCTTCTGTGTGAGCTTGGATAGGAGATGGACACTGCCAAACCATCTGTGAGTCTACTGAAAGGATCACGAGAAAGAAGAGTCAAAGTCTATTTCTTCGGCCCTGAAATCAAGGAGAACGACAGCTCTTACTCACACCGTATTGTGTGAGCTTGGAGAGGAAACAGACGCTGCCAAACCACCTGTGAGCCTATTGATAGGATCACGAAGAAGAAGAATTAGAGTCTGTTTTTTCCGCCCTGAGGTCAAGGGTTGAATGATGATGTTAGGCTTTTCAAGGGTTCCCCGTATTTGACTATTTTCGCCTATTTTCTTTTATTCATAAAAATACGAAGCGTCATTCTTCTCCTGCTTTGAGATATGTCCTTCAAGATTTGGGCTATTGTGGCTCTCTACAATTTCCTACCCTGTTTAGCATTCTCTTTTTGCTGTCTCTTCTAATCCCTGTTCAGCCAATCATTTACACAAGCTCGTTAGACATTTTATACGTTACTTTCTTGTGTACCGCTTGACATTATTATTTCCTGTGAGTATCAAATTCTTCAAACCCTCTTTTCTTATTATGCGCCCTAGAAATTTCAAATGTCCCTTTCTGTTGGTGTTAAGTATAAGTGTCCTTCCTGTCTCCATTTTCTCTAAAACTTCGTCGTTACTCACATGTTCAGTTCGTGGTATCTTTTGTTGAACCACATTTCTGTTGACTGAAGCCTCGTTTTCATTTTGTTTTGCATTCACTGTGATATTGGAGGACTGATATTTATGTTGACTGAAGTCTCTTCTTTTTGCTGAGCTAGAAATATACTGTCTTCTTTTCAGTTTGGAACATGTATATATATATATATATATATATATATATATATATATATATATATATATATATATATATATATATATTTAAAGAAAGCGTAACCTAAGTCGGTATTACCCAATGTTTTTCTTTTCATGCATGTGTAACTAGCAAAAAAAAAAAAAAAGATTGATTCAGAAATCTAGCCGTTAATAAGAATCGAAGTCCTCATACATTTAAACATAGATGTATTTTACGGCATGGGACACGCATTCAGCCGTCAATGAGTAATACGGTGTTATGCATAGAGAGATGAACAAATAAAAGCCGTGTAATTTTGGCAGTAAGTAAAACTAGAATAGAAAATAAGGTATAAAAGAAGGAAAAAAAAACATTATGAAAATGGGAAAATGTGTTCTTGTCAGAATGATAACGACAACAATAAAACCAGTTCGCAAAGAAAAATGTCTTCAAGACTGAAACAAAAAAAAATTCTCCCCTATTTTTTTAAAATTTTCTTTCTTTGTTTTTACCACAGGAATCGTCTATTAAAATGATGGTAATTTCTTCCATTTTTGTTTTTAAAGAAATCCGCATACCCCCAAACTCGAAAAAGCAAAAAGAAATCCTTAGAAACACAAAATAAATAAAATCACAAAAAGTAAACCAACTCTTTATAGAACAAAGATATTTGTTTCTTGAGTTTAACGCTCTTTTGTGCCCTGAACGCCCATAAACAGTACACTTCTCCCAGTGTTGGCATATCTTTATTGAAACAGTTCCACGTACGCACTTGCTTGAATTTGGTTAAATATATTTGCATATATTGAGATACACGACTTATCAAGACGCAGAGCATGTAGATATACCCTACTCTAATATACATATATGTTTATCTAAGAGGAAAAAAAAACTTGAATATGACAATCAAGCAAAATAAATGCACACAGATGAAGTCAAAATAAGCCTTTCCTCTTTCCCTCCCAAAATAAAACATTTGCAGCCGATCTGTATGTTCGCGCATAAATCCAAATTTGTGTCGAACTGAGCTTCCAAAGACAAGCAGAGCTTAGCGTCCAGAAAGTTCGATTTGACGACAATATCCTGTTCCGTTTGTCTGCTTTATGTCGTCCGCCATTTTGTTGAAATGTCTTTCTGGTCGCTTAGTGCATTGTAAAGCCAGGTCCCCCGCCCAACCGTCTCTCCTTAAAATGTTGCACCACTTAAATTGACTGGTCCACTCTTAAAAGTAAGAAAATATTTGTTAGCGAATAAATTTTGCAGATTAGCATTTATCTGATCTTTCCCAACGATACGTGTAGTCGTGAGTATCTGTTCTTATGACGGAAGATTTATTTTCTTCCAGAAGAAAGCTGACTGGCGGGATGATGATGACGCATTTTGAGCGTGTTTGGAATTTCGGCACTACTTAATATAACTGGTCCGCTCGTAAAATAAAAGGGAAAAAAAATTGCGTGTGGATAATTTGTATAGATTAACGTCCATTAAACTTTCCTCAAACCACGACATTTCTAAAAATCGAAAAATATTGATTTTTTTTGTTATCAAATTAGAAGTGAGTTCCTGTTCAAAATATAAATAGTGTCAAATCGATCACTGCCTTTTTAACGAGTTACTTGTACTTAATTGTTTTTTTGTTTTTTTTTTGTTTTTTTTTTTTTACAAATGTCGTGTCTTTATCTCCACGCCTCATCTCCCTCATGATAGTCACAGTTCTCCTTAAAATATATTTTGGAATATGAGTCCTTAATATTTTCAAATTTAAATGAATAAGTTTATATATCCTTTTTCTCGTTATTTATGCTAAATAATGATTATCTCGAAATATTCTTGCAAATGTGTCGGAAATTAGTTTTTTTTAAATCGACTTCGAAAATTAAAAAAAATAATTATTTAAAAATAATTTCAATCAATCGATCATAGATATCAATGACGTAAACCCAGTTTCGTAGGACATTTGTAATTAAAAATTAATATATCTAATTTAGTGAAAGTCATAGCTCGATCTGATACTGTGTTTATATTAGGAACATCCCTCCATCACATCTGAATTGATAAAAATCTTCTTTTTTTTTTGTTGTTCTAACAAAAATCGTGGCATAAGGAATGTCTCATAAGAGATAATCTATAAAAATCATTCCCGTGCAAACATGCCCTTATATTTTACGAGCGGACCATTCGATTTAAGTTGTCCCACAGTTCTTGATA